GTATTGCTGACACTTGAAGCATCTAGTAACTAGAGTGAAGTCTCTCACAGGACACGACGACCAGTTGACAAACACTCTATCCTTTGTTATTAGGGCTTTGCGTATATGTGCAGATACTTCAATTACATAATTGCAGGACTCCGCGTTTCTCTTTCTTGACTTGTGGCTTAATTTAATTAAGTTTAAAAATGTCTTGAGTGACATACCTCGCAACTTCCCGGCTAAGTTTTGCTGGAATATACAATTGAAAACTTCGGCTTCTTGCATAGACGTAGGCACTCCAATGATGACAATTCTGGGCTTGCGCTTATGTATGTGGCTCATCAACAGTAAGGGCGGAGGTCCTCAATTGGGCCGCCTGCTTTAGCTTCTCGAGATCATCTGCTGCTGGTGTCGGTGCTGATGATAATACCACTGTTCTTTGTCTTGCGCAAGCCACACACGTGCAGCTTCATTTCTTCAGGTGTGTACAATATGTACTAAAGTTAATTTGTATGAAAGGGGTATCCCATGGTACCAATGTACGTAATTTATATTTCGTCTTCTTTTGAAAAACTCGTACCTCCATTAGCAATATCGGGCAATTAAAGATTAAAATAAATTTTTAGACCATTGTTTTAGTTATAAAATTAAGGTATAGGTAATAATTGATTGTCATATAAAATTATTTTCAGTAATTATGATTTTCGTGCCTACTCAAAAGTTCACTTTAATGGAGGTACGTTTTCCACCATCATGTACCACCAGGCACACAACTTGTTCGTCGTCACTTGATATTAATAACTCACTTGATATAACGATTTTATCTATTCAAATATTCAGTTAGAATGCAATGTCGAGGCACATGGTGAAATAGCCGAATCAGTTTGTTGCATTTAATTGCTGTACAGTTTTGAATTGACGTGCGTGCAAGTTGTTTCCTGAAAATGTGTGATATTGAATATGTTCCTTTAGTTGAAGTATTAATATTATTATTTTTTATAGACATGTAGATAATCAATTTTTACGTTCATTAATGATATAATATTGAATTTTATATATTTTGAGTACAACACTATTACAATAGTATCAATAATGATTAGTTTACTTAACAGATACAAATAATCCCCATAAAAGAATGCTGTAACATGTTTCATAAAAAATTCATTATTAAAAATTACAAATTATAATTATTACTAAGAAAACCTCTACTACAATTTTGTCTAAATGAATACCAAAAGTCTACGAATAATACAATACAAAAGTAATTGACACTTACCAATAAAAAACGTGATAATAGGGTAGAAAATTTTGCCCTAAATCTTATTACAAATTAATTTTAAAAAGAAGTCGAACAGTGGTGCTTGCCGCTCACTGGTGCCACCGCCTTAAGGTAGGCGTCCACAGATCCGCAGCGCACGTATCGGACCGATCGCATTATACGGATTTTAGTATACTTTGTATAGAATCTCATACAACTGCGTACACTGATTCGGCCTGTCGGTACTGTCGATGCAGTTGCTCGGAGGGGCAACGTTTCCGATGGGTGCCGACGACGTCATACGGATTGCGTATCAATTCGAGTGCGTGCCGCCGCGTTGCGATCTCTTCTTAAATATGTCATGTATCCAGCAGCTTGATTTTGATTGCCTCTCCCGATCGAAAACTGCGTCTCTTTCGAGTCGAGGCGCATAATTGCGATTCATAACTGGAAGATCGGAAACTTTTGACATTTCAGATCAGAACAATAGTTGACTTAACTCACAAATTAGAAAGATATAGTATAGTTCATCTTCTCGCTCGGAAATACACCTGATTTCGAGACTACCCGATTTCACTTCTTTTTTCTTCTGCCAACAAACAAGCCACCACGATAAATTGTTCTTCATCACTTTCCAAATCCATTGTCTCACACACACAAGTTACACTCGTCCACTCGCTACGAAAAGTGGCGTCGGCAATCCGATTGCTGCGGATACAGTGGACGCACTACCACAAACGGAGCCGTCCGATGAGTACGCTACGGATCTGTGGACGCCTACCTTTAGATAATGTACACTATTATCTGCATAGTTTTGAGGGAAGAAAACTTTCATAGACTTCTCGCAGATAACGTACTACAAAAATGTCAAAAACGAAAAACAAAGTTAAGGGATTTACTACTGTTCTCCGTCCGAAACAATAGCTGTCTAATAAGCAATACTCGACCAAGTGAAAGGTACTGTCAAGTATGAAGCTTAATTCGCACCATGCTTCTTTTAATTACAAAGTTACAAATTCATCTAAGGGGCAATGAATAAGCTTCTTCAGGCCCCGGCCATCACCAGGTGGCGCTCGTGGCGGCGCGCCACCCGCGCGTTGTGCGCGGCCAAGATACCGGTTGATATTCAACATTTGCCATTTACGAGGTTTAAAACTATAGTGAAACAAAAACTTTATACTTAAGGCTTTCATTATACAGCTTCTGCGTACTTGGATGAATCTAAGAATTTGAAATAAATATTGTAAATATTAAATGTATTCAAATGTATATTTAGAAAGAGCAACCCCTAGAGTTTCTTGCTCAACCTTCTCAGGGGAATCTGCCTTACTAATGAGCTGTAGAGTTTCATTAATATGTAATTTGCTTACCTACGAAATAAAGATATTTTGCATTTTAACTTTTTTTATTGTAAATTTTTCATTGTGTATGTAACAACCATCGAGTATATAACCAGAAATAGAGACGAAATAAGGGCCATACGTTCCTGGTGATTCTGGTCATACGTTGATGGTCAGTGATATATCACTTATAATTATCAACTCTCTTTTGCATTGAAATTACAAGTTAAAAAGCTATTTTAAAAGAAGAAATAGTACAGCGCCAACAACAGCCCTGTGTGTACGTCTCCGTGTATTCCAAAAATATTCTGTATTTATTGTAATAAAGATAATATCTGTAACAATGGCGTGCTCTTCCATTCGGTGGTGCAACAGCAAAACATCTAATTACAAAACGGGATAAAATTTCATCGGTAATTAAATATTAAATATGTTATTTTCGTCTATTGTAGCAAAGCTCAAGTTAACTGATCAATTTGAAGTGAAACAATTGACGACACCATTGACGATACCCGTTAATTTCAAATCGGAGCATAGTTGTCACACTACTGATATGGCAGAATAGTTTTCAAACAAATTAAATGACATTTTGTCTCTATTTCTGGTTATATACTTGATGGTAAGAACTAAAGTGTTGTAACAATTTTAGTACACGACCGACCTAAAGAGCGCCTTTATGTACTTCCGCGTTTAGAGCTGTCGTAAATGTTTGTTTATCGCTTGACTGTTCCTATTTTGAGAATGAGATGTTAATATTTATTGAATTTGGTAACTTTATTGCGTATACACGGATTTGATGTGGCTAAACTGGAATGGGGAGCGTTTTCAACTGAGTTGTAAATAAAAAGCTTTTCAAAGCATATATTTTAGTAGCTCTAGAGCTCTTTGTGAAAGAGTTCACCGAAGGAAGTTCTTACTTATTTCCGCTGCCTAGAAGTGAGCGGTTTTGAAGGGTAACAAAATAAAAACAAACTATCGTTTACGACTCCACAAAAATATATACCTAGCGTTCATATTAACGTATTTAAAGATTAATTACATTTGTGGGAGACTCATGCCTAAACTAGGTCTAGCATGTGAATAGTCTTCAGGCATTCACCTCGCGTGTAACATACCAAGTGGTTAAGGATACACTGTGTTAAACTGTTATACAATGAAATATTACCTTAGACAGACAGATATACACTTTATTGCTCACGCACAAGAAGAAAAACAGTACATAAACAACTTAAAACTAATGTGGGGAAAAGGCGGCCTTATCGCTAAGAACGATACCTTTGAGGTAGAGGAAAGTTAATCAGAGCCAGGTACGTAGTGTGCCAATAGCAAAAATTTGAATTGTGTGAATAAAAACTTACGTTATATTTTATGAAATAATAAATAACGATTTCGTATACATACATATATACCTATTTATATATAAAAATATACCTAAATAAACCAATACTTATAAATATATTATACACGTTGCAGACTAGAACAGTGTCAGAAGATATTTACGCAAACCGGTCAACTTGTTGTGGTTGTGGACGAATAAATGAGTTACTGAATATAGAATAGTGATTGATCACTATAATTACTTTGTCAACTGTGTGATAAAACACAGTTAAATTATGAACTTATTCTTATTAGACGACACGGACACATAGATAGTGGCAGTGCCCCTTAGATCTTTCCATAGCTCTAAGTGGCTATGGAATTATCGTAGGTAGACATGTCGCTTACCACCAAGCGCACAACTGTCGTCATTTGATGTTATAAAAAAGGAAAAAAATAAAGGTTAAAGATCTGCAACAAGCATGTAGAAATGTCTTTGTCTATGTCTCTCTTTTAATCCATTTACTCTATTATATTGTTGTGGTTGTGATTCAAGTAAATAAACATTTTATATATCTATCTAAACTAATGGAGTAATTTCACAAAAATCACTGAATATCATGGTGGTCATACATCGTGACATTCAACAAAAGACTTAATAATTACAATTTTTTTATTTTTTTTTGTTTTATTCACAAGTAAAAAGTTTACAAACAGAAACACAAAATAGAGGATAAAGACCATTAAAAGGTTTTTTTGTATCGCTGTCATCACATGGTATGCGTCTAACAAGATAATTAACAGCTAATAATTCATCTCTAATGACTAAAACTAATTAGTTGCACAATTTGATTTAAGAATTGTTTTACATTTTTCTGGTTTACCTAGAAGTTTATCAAGAACGTCACTTGGCAATATATTAAGCAGTAAATAAGGGTTAACTTTTTAAATAGAATAAGTTTGTTTTTAACTTCGAAACTTGAGGCTTTTCTCGTACTCGGCGGTTTGGCGTACTGGCATTTCTCCTACGTATTTTCTTCCAATTATAATATATTGTGTGTAGTGGAACGTACAGATAACGAAGACTTATTTATCTTCCACAGGAACCACAGTATGTGTACTTTGCGAATCGGCGGCTCTTCGACGTGACCTAAAATGGCGGTGCAGTGGACACGGTGTGACCGGCCACAACACCCGCTTCTACGCTCTAGTGGCTCCACACTGCCACGGAAAATGGCTACGTACCGCACACACGCCTGAGAAGACTAGCCAGTGCTGCACCAATCCCGACTTTATCTTTGTTTAAGTAATTATAGATCTTCTATGCTACACCTAACACAATTGCCTTTTCTTTTTTTTATATTAGTTTATGGGATAATTAGCAATAGTATTGCTTGGCCAATTGTCCGTGCGGTTTTTGCTACTAGCTAACATTGAACAATAAAACTTTTTTCTTTTGAAAAGTTATATTGTCTATGGTAATTTTAAAACTAATATTTTAGCACGTACTTTGAGAATAGGCTGGAAAGTTAAGACTTGATACTTATACTTATTGTTTATTACTTATTGTTTCAGAATTAATTTTGCTTACAAACGAAATTAAAGCATTTGAAAATGTTTATCGTATACTATACTTGTTCTATTTAGTTCAGTTGATATAAAAAAAA